AGAATAAAAAGGAGGAATTTCCTCCCAAATCCCGCATTATTAAGCCAATTTATCCTAACGCTCGCGCGCTCTCCCTCTCCCTCTCTCTATCGCCCTCTTCGTCCCCACCCCCATTCATTTCCTGCTGGCTTTTTTTTGTTTCTCTGTCTGTCTGTCTGTCTCGCCTTTTTATTCCCGTCTCTTACGTGTGTGTGTGGAACGGGGGCTTGGGGGAAGCCGACTATTTCGTCCCCGCTGCTCCGCTACAGCATAAAGGCAATGATGCCGTGCAGCGTGCATGCGAGAAGCGTCTCCATCTCGCTGGAGAACCACTGCGAAAGATCGGGCCAGCCGTTTTTTTCCTCCGTTGTTCCACCGCCGCTCCCCCGCCGATGACGACGGTGCTCGTTCCGCACCTTGCGACGCTTTCGGTCCGCGGCCATCAACTCAATATGCCGCAGAACGGAACGAAAAAATGACATGCAGGAAAACAGAGCAAGCGCAGAGTTTCCCTCCCTATCAGGCTCACTGCCGCTTTCGCCAGTGTCTCCTCCACGGCCGTCGTCAACCGCGTGAGTGTTTTCCTCCTCACTCTTTTTGATGTCCTCCCAAGCCCCCGCTGCGGGGGAATGTCGTGGATCAAGCAGAGCAGACGACTCGGGAGAAGCTGCATCGCTGCTCTCTGATGGAATCTTTTCGCGAAAAGCCATTTTGCGCGGCGGATGTACAACACTGCGAAAACGCGCATATGAGGCACCGCCGTTCCCCAGCTCAAACGGTGAAGCGAGGTGAAGTGCCAAGTAGCTCATAGAAGGCAGACTATAAAAGCAACAGGAGTTTATGAACGGCAGCGTCGTGCGTCTCCGAAGATACTTACCACGTGGGTGTCCAAGGGATGCGCATGCGAGAAAACTGCGAGGGTCATCGTCGTCTGACACCTCATGGGAGTCTTCCGTCCGGAAACTGCCGAGTTTGCTCTCCGGCATCGATGGGACCTTGGAAAAGGAATGCTCAGGAGTCGGGAAATCGCAGAGGTCATGCCCCGACTGCGGGTGGGATTGCCCGCCCGAGAGAATCGACCACTCCAAGGAAACCTCCTCTCGGTGACATCCCCCGCAGGTTACATTTGGAGTGGCCGTTGCCGATCGCCAAAGGTGCGGCGCCGTCGACGACGCCGCATGCTGGGCGCGGGGAGAAACAAACTCCCCATCCATCGTGCGCGGGGTCACGCTGTGGCTTGGGTCCAAGAGGGCCCAGGCATTCAGGGAAACAGAGACGGGCGAAGGGTGGAGGGGAGGCGTTGGGGGCCGCAGCGGCAAGAGCCATGGTATATAGTCGCCTGACGGAGAACTCGACATTGCCCTCCCGTGACTACGCCAAACCAACGAGAGGTGGGCGTTTGCTAACCGATGGGGGCGTGCTACACAGCCGTGTGGGGGAGAAAACCAAAAACAAAAACAGCAACAATAAAAATATCGTTGAACTTCCTCACAACCCCCGCAAGGGAACGCTGCTGCCCACTGAGAGATTGCGCCTGTCTGAATACTAACCTGTCGGGCCGAGGAGAAGTGAGGGGATGCAAGCAGGCAAGCAAACCGAAAAGATAACAAAAGCAAAGAAACAAGGAGAAAGAACATCAAAAGCCATCCAACGCACAGTTGCGAAGGGCCTTAAAAGGGAACTAGAGAGATAGAGATAGGGCACAGACAACGGGTGAGGCACAGCCTTCCAAGGGAACATGGGTGCGTTGCGTGCCCCACTCCACCCCTGCCCAGGCGGTGGGGCGTAGGCGACTGTCAATGGAGGAGCCAACAAAAAAAAAAAGAGGCAAAGCAGTGCTGAGGAGGGCATCAAATCAAAACCGAACACGAAGAGTGTACACGAAAGGAAAATAGAAAAAAAATAATAATAACAATAATGAGTGAACTGCGCCATTTCTTCCCATTTTTCCTGCGCGCATTCCGATTCCTTCCCCCACTTGGTCGCGCCGTAATGACATCCTCCGCATTTGCGCCTTCCCTCTCTATCGTCGTACCGCGTGGTGTTGCACATGCTGAGCTGCGCCCCAGGCGCGCCTGTCCAATTTTAACCCAGGCATTCACCTTCGGTAAACGACTTTCGTGATGCGCCGATGCTACAATTTCAATGCAGCCCGTGATTCGCTTTCGCGCCGCCGCTCTACTTCGTGTCGAAGGCTGCGAATTTCACCCATAAGCCTCTGCCGCTCCACGGGGTCGGGGTTGGGTGACCGTAGGTGGTTGCGCAGCTCCTCGGCGAGGTGACGCAGCCGCTGGGAGTCCGCCTGGAACCGTTGAAGATTCACCGGGGACCTCATATGGGACGACAAGGCGCAGCGCACATCCTCGCGTAGCGAGGGAGAGAGAAACTGGGAACCCGTCGCAGCTCCGATTTCGGTGCTTGGACTTTGAATGGTTGAGTAATTCGTGCCAAAGTCATGCTTCACGGAGGGCGGTGGCGGTGGCGGTGGCGGCGTCAGTGGCGGCGGTGGACGCGGCGGTGTGGGACGCTGGGGCAAAGAAAATCCATTCGGCTGCGCCAACGGTGCGCCGGGGGCCGCTGCTGACGCCTCTCCTGGCGGCAGCTGTGGCCGCCGACGCAGCTCCGCGGAGGCGCCAACGGAGGGCGCGGCCCCCGACGCCGGCGGTGTTGCGTGTTGCACCTCCCTGCCCCGCGCCCTCTCCAGGGTTCGCAGGAGCTCTTGCTCCTTTTCCCGCTGGGCCTCAATTTCTGCCTTCAGTCCCTCGGCTCGCTCCTGCAACGCCTCCCGTCTCACAACGTTAACCTTCACCGCATCTATGCGTTGGTGGAGCTGCGCCACCTCATTTTCTAATGTACAGCGTGACGTCTCCTGCTGCGTCACTAGTTGCGTGGTGTCCTTCGCTAGCTTGGCCCTCAGGCGGTCGTACGCCGCAGCCTCGGCCTCAACGGTCCTAAGCCACTCGTGCCGCGAGGGCGGTGTGTTTAACTGCACGGACCAATGCGGCTCGCGGGGTGGTTGTTGCTGGTATTGCTGTCGACGGGCATCGAGAATCGACTTTTCTGCCGCCGCCACCATCTCCCGCACACGCACGAGGGCGTCTTGGTAGCCGCTACTCGTCTCAGTGTTATCCTCATCGCTGGCCGGGGACACTCCCTCACTCGGGAGCTCGTCAAACTGCAGCTTGCGGTGGAGCAGGTACACCGCAAGGCCGTCTTTCGCGACCGCGTCGGCGTCCATCGCGGGGCTTGCCTTTTCCTGCGGCGTGTGCGCGGCGCCACGCGACGACGGCGGGGCCTGCATGCACCTCACAACGCGGAACGTGGCCATCCGGCTAAGTCCGCAGCGGCGATTAAGATCGTAAAAGGCTTCCACCGCCGGGGCCCTGAAGATTACATCCGCCCCCGAAAGCAGCGTGACACTGCCATTCTCGCCTACACTTGCGTCACCGCCTTCCTGCAGACGCCCAGCAGCAGCGTCGGCGCCGTTGCCGCCGACATTGGCGCAGCTGCCGTCGTACAGCAGGCCGCACTGGTCCCGCTGGATGGCCGGGCGAAGCCCCATGCCTGCCAGCGCCTCCTCGAGGTCGCCCAGCACGGTGTCAACGGTGGTGTCGCAGAGAAACGCGAACTCCACATTAAATCGCTGCGTGCAGCTGCGATCATTCACCGCCTCTACGAGGAGGTTGCCGATGAGCTGCTCCCCATTGGGTGCCCCTCCCTCCGCCTGGTTGCTCGTCATTTAACGGCCTCACCGGCGCTTTTGAAGACACTCACGCAGAAGAGAAGTAGAAACGAAAGGAAACGAAAAAAAGCATGTAAACAGCGAAGCAGAGTGTTGTGGAAGAGAATATAACGCGCAAAATCAGCCCTTCAAGGGTTGCGTGGAAAGGACACTGCCTTCCCGCACAGAGTGGAGAATTAGCAGTATACGTATGCTCCGGCCACAGTTGTCAGCTGTGGGGCACATGAAAGGGAGGATGGGTGGGGGAAGGTGCCGTTTTCTTGTCATGGCTTCCGGCATCCTGTCTACGCATTCTACTCCCCCCTTTATAGTCCATGCATATATGAAGTCTCTACTGTCCCCTAGCGAAGACTTTTTAAGAGCAAGCGGCAACGCTTATGCGGCGTAGAGGGCCCGAATGAGTTTCTCCTGTCTCGCGTGGCCGTCCGCTTTGTCTTTCTCGAGCCAGGCGACAAGCGTTTCTAACCGCCGGCAGTCGCGCTCTGCGCTGAGGCATTCGGCCCACTCCTCCGTTAGCACCGCCTTCTTCTTGCGGAGCGTATCACACGTGGCGTCGTGGCTTGACCCGAGCACCGCCGCCTTGTGCTTTCGCCGGGCCTCATCCAAGGAGAAGTGGGCGGTGGCAAGGCGTAGCCGGGCCTCGTCCTCTTCATGACGCATATTCGCCACTGTGGCGCTCGTCGACGGTCCCAACAGTGGCGTCGGCCTCGTACGCAGAACCGACAGACGGTCTCGTGGCGCAAAGGCCGGCGTCGGGTGGAGGGCGCCGAGTTGCCGCAGTGTCGCGGCGCCGGTGGCCAGTGCCCAGGGTGCGTCATGCGTGGCGGCGGCAGCCACGGCCTCAAGCGAGTCGTTTTGCGTCTCCTTCAGCATCAACACGGGGCCCCCCTCCTGTGCGACCTCCAAGCGAGGTGGCGAGGAGGACGCCAGAAGACGTGCGTCTACTGCAAGGTAAAACTGCGCGTCCTCGTCCCCCAGCGAGTTTTGGAGCGCACTCGCGTTGTCCACGGGGTACGGGTCGCCATTCTCGCGGCTACACATCAATCGCATGTTGCACGGCTGAAAGACGCATCCTACCCGTGCACCGAGAGCCGCACACGCCTCCGACAGCACCGCCTGCAGCGAGGGAGTCTCCGTCCGTCGCACCCTCGCCGTGTATGTTCGTCCGTCAAAGTTCACGTACTTTACCAGCACAGACGTGGCTGTGCCTGCCCGCGCCCTTGCCGGAGTGAGGGCGGCCGTGGCCTCCACTGCCGCGGAGGCGGCGGAGGCGGCGGAGGAGGAAACAGAGCCGGTCGACACGGGAAACACGTAGGTTTGCGGGGATGCATCCGTGTCGGTGGCATTCATTGCCACCGATGGCGCAATGTCGTCGACGATGGGATCGCTGCTTAGCTCTGGCGTCACCTCCACTGTCTCATAGAGGGCGAACGGCCTTGCACTCCCCGTGGCGTCCCTGCGGTTGAGCCGCAGCAAGTCTGGCAGAGAAACGAGGGAGCCTTGCGCAAAGATAAACCGCTCCCACGGTGCCTTGGTTGCGCTTTCCAGTCTCTCCTGTCGCACGCGCAGCAGCTCCTCGAAAAAGGGCATCTTGTTGATAGGCGTGTCGGCGCCCACCATGGACGCGGTGCCCAGAAACACATACCGGCCGCTCGCGTCGCGCATGCAGAGGGACAGCTGGGTCTCGTACGACGCATGCATCTCCAGCTCTGCGGCCATGCGTTCCTCCACACTCCGCCGCGCGAGCAGAATAATATCCTTCGGGGCGGTGGTGCGAAGAATGGGAAAGGACAGCCAAAGCTGCGCCTTGCTGCCGTTGGCGCTGACAGCGTATAAGCAGAGCCGAAGGATGAGCGGCATGTCGGCGCCCCCCCCCCCCGCGCGAAGGCAACCGCAGTGTGCGTGTATGTGTGTACGCAAACTCCCCACCACAGTTTTTTTGGACAAGACTATCAAGCGAGTGGCCGGAGAAAAGAGGGGCAAACCGGCATCCACCTCCAGAGTGTACGCGTCCACAATCAAGAAAGCGAGCAAGAAGAAAAAGAAAAAAAGAAATAGATAGATTAGATAGATAACGACCCCTCACACCTGGCAAGACTAAGCAGGGGCGTGCCAGAGATGCAACGTAGACACACACGCACACACACAGTCGAATTCCTCGCATGCTCTTGTATCCCTCTTTGCCCAGGATTTACTCCAGACTTCCCTCCATTCCCTCTCCCACCCCCGCCACGCACACACACACAGAGAGAGAGAGAGAGACAGCGACACCCAAATAAGAAATAAAAATAAAAATAAAGTAAACTATGTTTTATGCTTTGCTTTGTGTTTCTTCATCCTTCTGTTTTCCATAATTATGGCCCCCATCGTTCCCTTACCCACACACAAGTACAGCCCACAGCACCCGGGTGCTCTACAACTTTGCGTGATGAACGGTTTGCGTCTCATGCTCCTCAAGCACAAAACCGCGGATGCGGTGAACCTCGTCCAACTTCTCGTCCGCAGATAACGCGCGCACAGTCCAGCCGGCGTTTTTCACGGTCAGGTCCTTAATAACCAGCGGCGGCGCATCCTTCGCCTTCGGCCCCACAAGATGCAGGGCACCATCAAGGTCAAGGCTCTCAATGCGTACGTGGCCCTCGATGAGCAAGACACTCCGGGCGCTCACCGTCACCTTGTCAGGACGTGGGAGAAGTCGTTTTGTGACATCCTCAAGAGAGGCCCCCAGCGCCACAGCGTCCGCGACGATGATGGGAAACAGCTGCAGTTTCAAGGCGGAGCCCACTTCCACGTCGAAGGCGTTGCTTGGACGCGCCGGCAACTCTAGTCCGGCGCCCTGCAAACGGAGACGGAGAGCCTCATAGTAATCCTGCTCGCCAGTTGCTGCGCAGTACGCCGCAAGCCCCTCAGAGGCCTTCTTGAGTCCCTCCTGCAGCGCATTCTTCACTGGCTGAAACGTAAATCGACTGAAGGTTACGGCCCCAACACGCTTCTTCGCGGAGTCAAAGAGAAGCGCAACGTCCTGCATAAGGGACTCAATGCGACACGGCTTGAACTTTGTCTTGCTGTCGTCTGTGAATTTAAGGTTAATAAACTCTGGAACACGGCCATGGGATTCTATGAGCAACGGCAGGTACTCCTTTAAGTCCAGAATGAGGGTATTGATGCTTCCGGGGTAGGGAGAGTAGTTGGACCCTGCAACCGCCACATCCCCCCCGAGCTCCGTCAGCGACGCCGCCACAGACGCAAAATTGTTGTACTCAATGTTTACTGTCCGCTCAATATCCGAGCCGCGGAGGTGCACCTTGCAGAGCAGACCAATCGCCTCCTTTGGCTGACGCGGGATGCAGGTGAAATTCATTGCCAGTCGATGCTTGGCACTCATCCCCAGGCTCACTGGGATCGTCATGGTGGCGATGGCATTCGTGTCTTGCATAAAAACAACGTAGGAATACCCCTGAGACTGCCACAGCTCCAGCAGCCGCCGCCCTGACGCGTGGTCAACGGCGCCGTAAAGCAGTGAATGCACATCACCGTGACCGTGGGGTTTGCGAAGCAGCTTCCCATTTGAGAGCGCCAGGTGTGCTGCGGTGTCGGTGAAACAGGGAACTGTCTCCTGTTTCAAAAGATGCACGTTCGGCGTGTTCCGCCCCAGCGCCCGCAGAAGCTTCTCTGTGCTGGCGTGTGTGTCGTCGGAGGTCATGATGACGAACGGTGCGTTGGGCCCGGCGACGTGGGTCACCCAGCCAAGGTAGTGCTCGAGGTAGCAGCGCCGCGACGCCGTCTCGACGGGCAGGCCAAGCTTAATCCCGGAGTACCCCAGCCGCTCCCCCAGGCCCCCCGCCACCAGCACAAAGACGCACTGCTTGGCGTACCGGAGGCCCTCCCGCTCCAGACTCATCAACTCCTCGCTGCGGTCAAAGAGGGAAGGGGCCTCGTACACGTGGGACGGAAAGTCGAGGCTGGTGTACTCCTCGAGGGAGCCGCCCTTCGCCGCGAGGAGGCGTTGGCCGTTGCGCACGTACTGTTCGATGCCGCCCCTGTAGTGCTCCCCGATGCGGAACAGTTCCACCATCAGACTTCGTTGCTCCTCCGTGAACTCCTCCGTCGACGCCGGCCAGCCCTCGAAGAGTTGCGACTGGCCCAGCTCCGGACTGCTGAGCCGCTCACGCAGCGCGTTTAGCTCCTGGCTCGTCGGCCCCTTCCCCGCAGACAACTTCGTCATTGTTTTGCGCAGATATTCCTATAATTGATGGTAATAATTGTAGCCTGATTGATACTATGGCTCTCTTCCTCATTGTTGTTGTTGTTTTGCACGCGTTGCCTTTTTTATATATATTTCTGTTTTGCCTGTTGCTGCTGCCGCTGTGTGTACACTCGTCCCCGTTTTTCTTTCTTTCTTTTCTTCTTTCTCTCTCTGTTGTTTGCGCTTGTGCGTCACTTCCTATTCCTTTGAGTGTAATACAGTTGGGCGGGTGAGAAGGTGAGACAGACGACGGTTCCAGGGTCGTGCTCCCACCCAACTATCGCCTGTGTTACACGCAAGGAATAGGAAGTGACGCACAAGCGCAAACAACAGAGAAGGAAAGAAGAAGAAAGCAAAAACGGGGACGAGTGTACACACAGCGGCAGCAGCAGCAGACAAAACGAGAAATAAATAAAAAAGACAACGAAACAGAGGAGGAAATATACCTCAGCTGAACATATAAAGCACACGCACACGCACACACATACACACACACATGTATGGGCCTAATTATAATTATAATTTTGATCATAATTATATATATAGACAGGCGGATACATATCCGCCTGTCTAGGCTTGCAAAGATACGACGGGAGATTTGGCGCGTCACAAGCAACTTCATTATCCTCGTTCTCATCGCACGTGTCTTTTACTCCCGTGACACCGTCGGCGGGGTTACAGCTGGAACGTGACGCGTGCCTGACTTTGCTTCTTATGCCTTGTATGCTTGTGTGTGTGTGTGTGTGTGTGTGTGTGTCCGTGCCTCCTGGCTGTAACGCTATACGGCGTAGGGTAGTCGCCCCGTACACACACAGACGCACACATACATACCCAACCCCTCCCCCACCCACCCCCTCTCTCATATATATATGTATATATATATATCGCTCTTACGGGATCGCCGTCTCCCGTGCACTGCGGCGAGGGATGCTGAGAGGGAGACCCCCCTCAGCGGGGGGTGTCCGTCGGTTCGCGTCCCGGTATCTCAAGGCAAACCGTCTCCACGTACGCCGCGTGGTTGGGGTCGTACAGGGGAGGCGTCGCGGACTGGGTTCCGCTGAAGACGGCGAGGCAGCGCGCGGAATCGAACGGTGCACGGCAGCCGAAGCACTTGTCGTTGAAGGCAAAGTTCAACGAGAGGCACTCGGCGCAGAGCCAATCGACGTAGGTCATGCGCACATTGTTGCGCCGGACGCCGCTTCCAATAACAGGGTCGTGTACGGCGATACCCAGGAAGAAGCTAAACGCCACGGCCGTAAGGTTCACGGCAAGCACCTGCAGCACAGAGAGCGAGAACCACGGGAACAGCGCAGTGGCCATCAGCACGGCGGAAGTTGTAAATCCAAGGAGATGGGCGGAAAAGCAAGCTCCCTTGTTGATCACTGTCCCACCCCCGTTGGAGGAAGCATGCTCTCGCCGCTGGCGTCGTTCGCGGCGCGACAGACGCTCGCGCTTGTTGACACGCCCATGGGCGTCCCAGGTGACCCAAGGAACCGCAGCCGTGCACGAGTACGTTTTGGGGCGCCCACGCTCTGGCGGGCTGTCCCACAGCTGCATGTACGTCACGCCCTCGCGCTGAAGGCCCCAGGCGGCAGCATCGCGTGCGTTGAGTTCACAGATGTCGCCGTTAATCGCAAACTCGGCGCTTTTTGAACCTAAAACGAGGTGGTAGGTTACCTGCCGCCCACGCTCCTGTTCCTCGCGCGTAAAGGAAGTCCGTGCGGCCTCAACCAGGTCACGAAGCTCGGACACGTTGGCAAAGGGCAGAAGAACGGTGGCGAGGTGGTCCTTCCCAAAGGCGGCGGTGTAGTCCACACACCAGGTGTCGGGGAATGTCTCCCGCAGCCCCTCCGCCGGGTTCAGCATGGCGCTGCCAAGCACGGGAGGCAGCAAGGCGTGACTCGTGGGCGGGAGGATGCAGAGGAGCTGCAGAAACATGTCAGGCGGCGTCGCCTCCAGCGGCGGCGGTGGCAGCGTCGCGAGGTCGCATCGTTGCAGATAGTCCGCGACATCCAGGGCAAACGGGGCGTGATGAAACGGGTAGTACCACGACCAGCTACACGTTGAGGAGATCCCGCTGTAGTAGCGCCACATAAAACGAAGCCCCTCCACGTACTTTTTACACGCCTCCTCAACGTTGCCGGCAAGCCCCGTTGACGCCAAGTACGGCCGCCGCCACTGCTCGTCCACCGGTGAGTGCAGCGGCTCCGCCACCTCCTTGAGTGTCATGCTGTTGTTGCTTAGCGCAAACCGGCGAAACTTGACGGCCTCAATCTTCGCATATGCCTGCAAGAGACGCCGCAACTGCGGCAGATGAATCTCATGATACCCGCCTGTAAGAAAGCCGTGAGGCAATACCTCCGTCACGTAAATCTCCAGCAGATTGTCCAGCACGCTTTCCCCACAAAAAGCCCCAGGGAGCCGGGGAAGAAAGTCGTTGCCCATTAGCATTGCCATCACAATGAAGTCATCGATAACTTTACTGTTTGCTTGTGAAGCACAGGGACGAAAATTTATCCAGCTTTGCGTTTCCTTATGGTTATCCTCCTCTTCACGTGCAGCGTGTCGCAGCGGTGCATCGGCGCGCCCCGCCTGACGATAAAAGTGGTACCCATTCGAAGACACCAGCAGTTCCGGACTGAAGGCCGCCTTGCTTTTGGGTGCAAACTGTTTCAACTGGCACAAGCCATGCAGCTCCGACATAAGACACGAACCCACCGTGTCAATGTCGTAGTACTCGAACGTAGTGTTGGCCAAAGGCGTTCCCGTCGCCGGCGTGGTCCCTGAGGCCGCGTTTGAGGAGCGATTGCCGTCGTTGTCGTAGTCGTTGTCGTCGCCGTCGTCACCGTCACCGTCGTCCACGATGAAAGGGAGCTCGTCGCCTTCCGCGTCATCCTCCGTCGGCGGGCGGGCGCAGGAGGCGTTCTTTTTACTCCGCCTGTCTGACGTGTGTGGCGGGGCCGGCTGCTCCCCCAGGGGCCGCTCCGCCGTCTTCGCCGCATACGGGTTCCTGTCACTGTCTCGGAGAATAAACATGTGCGGGATGTGCAGCGAGAGCGACAAAAATATCAGATCGGCGTCTAACCCCGCAATAACCTGTGCGCCCCTGCCGTTGAAGCCGGCGTAGGAGGACTGGGTGCGCAAGAAGTCAATGATTTTGTGCTCCCCCTCGCCTGGTGTGTTGGCGCCGGAGACGACGACACGAAGCCCCGCCCAGAGCGGGGCTGCGGCAGCCAACCTGTCCTGCACCATCGCGAGCACGACATTCGTGACCTTCACCATGAACGCCGTGCCAGGGCTGATGCAGCCGCTGTCGAACTCCGCCTCCTGCGACGTTCCGTCCGTGCGGGCGTCAATCGCGGCCGGGTCTCCGGCGTGCAGCGCGTCATCGTCGTCGCTGCAGAGCGTGGCAAGAGTGGCTGGCGGTGCGGCACGCGCAGCGTCGCGCAGCGGCTCCGCCGTTTCGTCGAGGAAGATGTCCCCGCCGTACAGGGCGTCCTGCATCAGCGACTGGCGGACGTCGTCGAGGTCGTCGTCGACCGCCGCCATCTCATTTGGGGTGAACTCCCGCACAACCTCCTCCACGACCTCGGCACCGGGGCAAACCCTTTTCGCGCGACTCATGTAGCGCCGAGCGCGCTGCTGATTCATCTTGGCCCGCGGCGCAACACCATCCGCCGCGATGTACAAAATTTCTTTTGGCCGCACCGTCGCCAGGAGCACCTCCACCTCGTGGCAGATGCGCTGCAGCTTCTCCTCCTCCGGTCGCGCGGCCACGGCGGGGTCACGCTCGCTGTGGCAGCAGGGGTGGATGAGGCCGTTCAGGTCAACGTAGAGGCCGTGGACGTCGGCGGGGGCAGCGTCCGACGCCATCTCAGGGTACTTCTTCTTCAGCCATGACGCAAACTTTGGAACTCCCATGGCGAGAGCCGAACGGAAGTCACCCGCACAAAGTACAGGTTGCGGCCGACGCAGAAGATGGTGACGACGATGCTGCTGGAAGCGTGCGGCCCACTCCTTCCCACCCGGTATACGTATAGGGGAACCTACCTGTGCACACACACACACAGAGAGAGAAAACGGGCAAATGCATACACATAAAAAAGAAAAGAGAGATGGATAAAAACAAAACAATAAAAAAACGAATGGAAAGCGCCACGAGTTTCCAAGAGGGGGGAAAAAAAAGTCAATCATCCCTCAGTGTCACTTTCAACGCCCAGACCGCCCCCTCCCCGTTCTATCTACCTGCAACAACCGACATGCATCATTGCAGAGTCGCATCCAGACACAATCGCACGCGCGCACATACACACAGACACACACCCTTGCGCATACTCTAAGTGACTCCTCGTAGGACTTTTTCCCCCTTCTAATTACATCGGCTTTTGCTTTTGTTGCCGCTTCTCGGCCCCTTTTTACTTCAACAGAAATCTAGGCCAGTGTGGCGCTGCCCCACTGTTGATGAGGGCAGTTGCTGCTCCACAAGCCACCGCGTGACGCCGGAGGTGGTGGCATTTTTCCACGACGGCGTCGGTTCCTCGTGGTGGTCACCGTGACGCTGCTCTGGTGAAGCTGAACGACGTCGCGTGTGACTCGGAGACCTCGTGCCCGGCTGCTTCGTTGCTGCCACATAAGACTCCAGCAGCTCTGTGTGCGCAAGAATGCCCTCCAGCAGAGAAATAATACGACTTGAGCCGGCAACCGCAGTGTTGTCCGCCTCACTCGCATCGGCAGCGGGGGCGCGAAGCGCAAGTTGGGGGCTTAGCGTTTCCTTGTACTGCGCCATGCGCTTGCGTAGCCAGGCGGTGGTCTGCTTAAGATCCACCACCTCGCGGTTGAGCTGTCTAGCCTTCTCCTCAAGCGCCACCTTGACCTCCCGCAAGAACGAAGCGTGGTTGCGGTCCCGCCGACTACGGCACTCGGCCATGTCCCGCCGCCATGCCTCACGGGCCCGCTCCATGCGTGCCTGCTGCGCACGCAATTTTTCCTTCCTCTCCCTCAGCAATAAACTCGCACGATACAGGCGATCTTCCAAAACTAAATTTTGCTTCGAAGGCACCGTGGGCGAGGCCTTTTCACAGCTGCCGTCTCGCCCCAGCGCTGCCTGGCTCTCCGGCCAGTAGGCGGACGGGGTTGCATTACCCGCAGTAAGCCAAGGATGCTGCTTCGTCGGACTCGGTCGTGCACTGCTCCAAAGACTGTTGGCAGGAGCTATAGTCGATAAGGTGCAGTTCATCAGAGGTGTCGTGGAACTGTGGATTTGCTGCTGCTGCTGCGAAGGACGCGGGGTGAGTTGCTGCTCCTGACGTCCGGGCAAGAACGCGTCTATGGGCACCGTCGGTGGTCGTTGAAACGCAACAGCCGTACTCGTGGCATTGGCAGTAACGGCCGTATTGGCGGTATTGGCGGGCGTCGCAGCAGCTGGAGTTCGAGCCTGTTGCTGAGCCTCCTCCTGACGCTGCCGCAAGTCGGCACACGCGCGCCGCGTCGTCTCTTCGAGTGTCGCAATGCGCCCTTGCCAGCGCTGCCGCAGTTCTCCTTCACGCCTTTGCGCCTCCTCCTCACTCACTTCATTCAACCGCACTAGCGGAGGCTTCTCATTGTTTCCTTCCGGCTGAGAGGCCAGAGGTGGCGCCTTTGCCTCCTCCGCGATGGCGGCGGCCGTTCGATCCAGTCGTTGCCGACACTCCTCAGCCTGCCTCTCCTGATAGCGTGTGAGCTCTGCCTCAACCTCCTGCAGCCGCCTCTCACGATGCGCGGCCACGGCCTCTTTCATCTCGCGTGCCAGCGCCAACTCCACCTCCGCCAGTCTATTCTCATCTTCAGCCGCCCTCCGCTCCTTTGCGTCCGTGACGGCGATGTCAATCCGCCTCTGCTGCTCCGCCTCGCTCGGCATCGGAACCGGGGAGGCATTCATCATCCCAGAGAGGGTTGGCACGGGCTCCAGCTGCGGCATCGTCAGAGCCGGCGGCGGGTTTGCCCTCAGCCACAGTTTCTGCTCCTCTCGTAGCCTTTCCGCGTAGCCAGGCGATTGGCGTGGGTTGAAGAGTTTCTTCTCCTGCAGGGTCCGTTCGTGCTCGCGGCGAATCCGATCCATTGACTGCGCGTGCTTCGTCTCTAGACTCCGTGAGGCAAAGTCAAACCGCCGTTGTTCCTGCGCAACCGTCGCCCCTGAGAGTCCCGGTTTGGCGGCATCGTTGTTGTTGTTGCTGCTGTTGCCGCGGCCGCTGCTCTGCCCTCTACTCTCCACTCCGGCTCCGGCGGGCCTCGTCTCGCTCACCTCCGCCTGCCTCGCCGCCACCAGCCGCTGGGTCTCCGCCGCGTACTCGGCGAGCTTCCGCTCCACCGCCCGCTGAAGCTGGGCCGCCTCCGCCGCCACCGCCGCGGCGGATGCCTCCTTCTCCTGAAGCTTCTTTTGCTTTTCGGACTGCAGCTCCTCCTCCTTGGCGCGGTACTCGCGACGCAAGTCCTCCATGGCGCCCGCGGCGGCACTTGTGGCCTTCTGCAGTGCCGCCTCGTACGCCAGCTGCGCCTCGGCCTCTGCCGCCCCGCCCTGCTCCTCCTCGCTGTCGCCGAGCTCCTGCACTAACTTGGCCCGCTCCGCCGCAAGGCCCTCTTCAAACGCCTCCAGATTTTTTTTCCTGTCACGCTCCAACGTGGCTGCCTCCTCCTCCAACTGCCGCGCGAGGTCCTCTGCGAGCCTCGCCTTCTCCTTTGCCAGCGTCGCCGCCGCCGCCTCACGCTGCTTTCGGGCACTTTCGCTGCGACGGAGCTGCGTCTCGCTCCGCACCTCCTTCAGGCGCTCCTGCAAGGCAGCCGCCAGCGACGCCCGCTCCAGCTCCAGTTTTTGCCGCAGCGACGCCACGCGCACGTTCGCCTCCGCCTGCTGCTGCTCCAGCGTCCGCTGCAGAGACATCAGCTCCGCCTGGGCGCGCTGCTCCAATTCCTTGGCCTGTCGCTCCCGCGCCGCCGCCACCGCGCACTCGCCGGCGTCCTTCGCGTCCTGCAACGCCTTCTCCAGCGCCGCACTCTCCTCCATGATTTGCTTCTCGTGGCGTATTCGCATGTCGCGCCGGCGGGCCTCAATGTCGTCGTCGATGCGCCGGCAGATTTGCGCCTCCATCTCCTTCACACCATCGTGGGTTTTCGGCAGCGACAACTTCCCTGCGGCGACACCGCCGCCGAGGCCAGCGGCCGCCAAGCCGAGGCCGCTCGTGCTCGTGTTGGTGCCACCAAACCCAAACCGGGTGAGGGCGCGGTCACCGGCGTTGCTCGGCATCAGCAACCCGCTCACGTCCGGGGTGACGCGCTGCGTCGCCGCCGGAGTTCCCAACGCCCCCAGCCGCCCAAAGCGCATTGCAGAGGCCGTCAGCCCTGTGCTTGTGGGCGACGCGTACGGCGATGTCATCGGCGTCGTGGCGGCCGACCCTTTTGACCCCTTCATAAACCTCTTTGGGGTCTCAAAGTGGCCCGCCGCTCCCTTCTCGAGGCGCCGTCCCTCGAGACCCTCCTCACCCCGTCCTGCGCCGGCGGAGGAGGCTTTGTTCCGCTTCTTTGCCTTGCCGTGCCCGGCCTCGCCGGCCATCAGCTTCGCCCGCTCCTCCACCACCTTCTCCTTGAAGGCCTCATCGGTGGGGTGCTCCCACTTGCTGTCGCCGGTTAAAAAGTTGAAGTAGTACACCTCGCCCTCGCCTGTGCGGCACGCCTTCCACTCTGCCGGCAGCGGCCTCCGCAGCCCCTCCCGCGCGATCCACAGCAGGCCCGGCTCCCTCTCCACATCAATCCCGAGCCACTCCGCGTACTCCTCGACCTCCTCCTGCGTGGGCACGCTGTTCGGGTCGCAGGGGTCGGGGAGCACAACCGAGACGCTCCCGTCATCGCCGTGAAAGACCTCGCCCGCCTTTGGGATCACCGCCATGCCGAGCCACAGGCCTCGTCCCACCCCTCAAGCAACAAAAAAAAAACAAAGGAGAAGGCACGTGCGGGGAGGCAAAAAAAAAACGTTATTATTATTTCGGAGGGTGTCAGAGCAGAGACAACGGTGGGGAAAAATAAAGGCGATGGCGGCACGTGCGCTTACATCCGTTGCTTGCCTAGTTGGCTCGCCTCCCTGCACCGCACCCACACTTCGTGTGTGTGGGTGGGTTTCATCCGCCCACACCTTCGGCACCGCTGCTGCCGTTCTTATCTTCGCCCCCATTCGTTCCCCCTGACTCTGCAGCCGCGGCGCATGGTAGGCACTACTACTGCACACCCCGCGCCTGCCCCATCACCCCTCCTGCTGCTGAGTCTATGAAGCAGGAGGAAAACGCCACAGGCAACCGCAACAAACGAAGCAAACGCAAGCGGGGGGAGGAGGGAAGCAAAGCGCTTAAAGGCAAAAAAACGGATTGATTGGGGAAAAACGAAAAAAAATAAGGAAATGATGGGCAAGACACATACAGACCCAAACGCACAGACAATTGTATATATATATATATATATATATATACCTGCAGATTCACATGCCTGTGCCTGTACGTGTGTGTGTGGTGGGGGGG